CCCCAAAACCCCAAAACCCCAAAACCCCGGATTGAAGATAATTGCAATTTTTAGAATAAATTGAAATTTAGAAAAATTAAAATTTACTAAATTAATTGTTAATTTTGTATTGCTAATGGTAGGTAATTTCATTCTGTATCATTTAGAGACATATAAAAGTCATAATTTTCCTATTACTTTACATATATTAATATTATAAATATAGAGTAAGAATCCTAGCTTTGATTACACCAATATGAGGCGATCAGGCATTGTACCGCAAAAGAGGATGTTTCCGAATAACTTGCATCATCGGACTTAAATGTATTTAATTGGCAGTGATCTTGAAAAAAAGAATGACTAATCTACTATTCAACCTAGTAACATAAAAACGATTTAAAGTTTTATATCGATAGGCAACTAAGGAAAAATGACTAATGATTATCAAAATAGTATTGAAGAGCAAATGAGAAAATAAAATGAGCTAAAAAGTATCAATAATTAGCAATCTTCAGATAACGGTGGGGTTCAAGGGATAAATTAGAATAGCTAAAACAATAATAATTTGTTAGGATATTAGCCAATCAAGACAGTGGATAACAATGGAAATCAAAAGAACATCAGCTAAATATAGCTTTCTGACTAAACTTATCAGATGAATACATAATAACAATAGCCATCTCAAATTAATGACATACAATAGTAATAGTAATTGTAAATGTAAAATCAAATTATAAACAGCTCGAATCTGTAATAGTAATTATAAGGATTTTAAAGTCAACAAATGCAATAGCCATATCAATAGTAATAGATATAGCCGCATGTTTGTTAGCAATACTGTCTAAATTGTCAATAAAGCATAAATAGATAGGCTACATAACAGTAAATTATTCAGTCTCAGCCATTGTAATAAATTATTCCGTAAGCAGATATGCTACAAGGAGGCTATCAAGATTATCGTCCAAACAACAATATGTAGATGATTTACAACTAGGTGGATTAAGGGCATCCACAATAAATGTAATAGCCTCAATAGTAAATGGATTAAAGCTATATAGATCAATAATACAATAATAATATGAGTTATCAAGATTTAAATCAGCCACCACTTGACTAATAAGAAATACAAACTTAGCAATTGCCCTACAGATCTCCATCAGCCACTTTGAATCAATAGGCTATTATTAACAACTAAAGTATCGAGTAACTTAGATATTAGGAGAGACTCAGAATGGCAACTTAAAAATAAAATGAAACTTATCATAGATTTATTAGCACTTAAAACAATGCAATGACCAGTAAGGATAAACTTATTAACAAATACGATCAACTAGAATAAATGGAAAATATTTAACCTTAGTTATTAGTTGGAACTCCTTAAAGAAAGACCAGATTGGGTAAAATAGTGACTTAAATCGAAATGAATAATCCAGAAACAAGGAAGTATCTAAGGGAAGTGCTAGAGTAACAGATAAAAGAGAAAAATTAGAGAAAGTAAAATGAGATAGCTCAACATAAAGTATATTAATAAGGCATTAAGCATTAATCTGAGATAAACGCTTAAGAGTAACTTTAAACTAGAGAAAGGAAAAGAATGTCTTAGCATGAATATAAGTAATTTCTTGATGCCTAAAAGACCTAGCCAGTTGAATAATATGGAACTTATGACTAAATGGCATAGGATTTAATGTAATAGTAGCAATAATTGCAATATTAACCCCCTGCATTGAGATATGATCAGAGTAATAACTATAACATTTTAAGTGGTTAGAATTATCAGCAGGAATTAAATCAAATGCAAAGGTCAACGTAGCTTCCTCCTAGGCCTGGGTAAGTTGGCCCTAATAGAGCAGTTACTTAGTAATATCCTCAAAGAAATATGAGCAATGTACAATAATACACTAATCCATAAGCAATGAATTCTTAACCAATGCTTCCACCATTACAAAATAATAGAACTCCTATGTATAATCACAATTCTATGACGCCTAATATGAGGAATAAAATGCAAGGTCCACCTACAGACTAATATTCAATGTTTCAAACATTGGATCCATAAAATAACTCTGGGTTGTAATATGCCTAGCCAATTAATCTAATGTAGCCCAGAGCGGGAAGTGCAAATCTAGGAGAAAGAAGAAATTCTCAACAATATTTTTCGAATCTGGCAGCCAGAAACTTAATGCTTTGAATTAGTCAATTAATATATAGTTTATAATCGTTAAGCTGGATCATTATTTATCAATCTGCTTGTCAATTTAAGTAATAAAGTAAGGGGTTTTGGGGTTTTGGGGTTTTGGGG